TTTGTTTATCAATCAATTCAAGAACATTTGGAACCTTTAATTCGCCCACTTTACCCCTTTCAGGACACTTGAATTCCTCACAAAAAACTGAGTTGATCAAAAAAACAAAACAAAGAAGCAGAGAGAAGTCCATATTCACTTTTAGTACAAGTTTAAGGTTGAAAAATTGGTCGATTTTAGCAAATGAATATTTCAACACTTTATAACTGTATATTGAACATTGTATTAGCTTGTTGGACAATTAAAGGCGTGTTTACCTTAATGAAGGTTTTAATGCAAGTCTTGATGGTTATGGAATTAAGTCTAATTGTTAACGTTATCATTCTAATTCATTTAGATTGGGTGTCAAAATCAATAAGAGTATTAATCTCATTCTAATCATAGTGACAATGTGTGAAAAATCAGATTATTGAATAATCAAATGTTAACTTTCCTTCCAAGAAATTTAACATTGGATTCAATCGATTAAATTGAGTTGATATCTACCAATTAACATGAAAAATATAGTTACATAGATCAAGGGTCAGGTTAATAGGATAAAGCTCATGCAAAATTATTTGGAATTAAATATCAACAAATTTCAAACGCATTGTAATAATGAAATAATGAAATGAAAAGATACCTCGATGATCGTGTTTGATAACTGGTTTCCATTTTTAATCATTCATTATCCAGTTCGTAAAACTTAAACATTTTTCAATGTTAATTGTCTAAAATGAAATGATTATCTGATCAACAAATAAATGTCAATTTAGAAATTTCTGTCCAAATGAAGGCAGCCAAGTTCAGTTGTGCTCATAGTCATTCAGGACGAATTGTGACTTCAAATTATAATGACATTTTACCGCTTATTTCGTACCGAGCTTTAGCAATAAACAAAAACTCTAACTCCTTCAATTGACAGTCTAACCTGTGATAACGTGTTATATTGTTATCATAATTTGCTCAAAAAGCCTCCCACCTTAAACAATTAAATCATTGATAAGCATAAATAAGGGTTTAGCCAAAGATACTATCTTTAGGTATCTTACAAGTATCTTGTTAGAGCGATTTAATGTGACTAAATAAGGCGGTGCTAAAGGGTGTTGCGTGTTATTCTCGCCAGCTATCTTATCTCAATGGAGATTTATAAGATTTCCATTGGACATTTTCATCTTTATCAGTTGTTTAATCTCCATTCGGATGAGATAGCTGGCGAGAATAACACGCAACACCCTTTAGCACTGCTTTATTTAGTCACATTAAATCGCTCTAACAAGATACTTGTTAGATGCGTAAAGATAGTATAATTGGCTAATCCCGTGTTTATGCTTATCAATGATTTCATATGTATAAGGTGAGAGGCTTTTTGAGCAAATTATGCTAAACAATATAACACGTTATTACAGGTTAGACTGTCATTGAAGGAGTAAG